AAAAAAAAAGGAAAAAGACGCTGTTTAAAATGTAAACCAAAAGAAAATACAACAATTTTCAAAACTCATAATCCCAGATCTTTGTCACAGCAGCGCAAAGAAAACATATTCAGTGTTTGAACTGAATCTAAGAAACAGTTTCTAAGAACTAAAGATGGGCAGAGGTAAAATTGTGAAGGCTGCAAATATCTAATCATCTACAGCCCATAATATCAAGAATCTGCATGACATGACCCTGTCTCACCTTTGAGATGTGCTGCTGCCAAAAAATTTAAAATGAGCTACACTTTTCTTTAAATAGTACATTTTCTCACTTTAAACATTTGATATGTTTACCATGTTCTTTATTGTGAATAAAATATGGGTTTATGAGATTTGCAAATCAATACATTTTCTTTTCATTTACATTTTACACAGCATTTCAACACTTTCTGAATTTGGTTTGGAATATATTGCATGTACAGTAATGTTGTATATAAAGCCTAAAGAGGACAGAACAAAATGTGAAGTAAAATAGAAAGTCTCAAGCTCAAACTGAATATAATTAAATGGACTTCACACATAAATAATTCCCTCTTTAAGGGGTTTATGGTTAGAAATGGGCAAAAACAAATTCAGGTCAGACTCTCACTCACAAATCCAAACCTACTAGAGACTGAAATGTAATAAATTCATGTTGTTAAAAAATAAATTAAAGTGTTTTCTAAACATATAACTAGATAACCCAGCACCAGTGGTCCTGCTGTTCTCTTTAGTTACCTGATACTGTAAAGAACGCTGCCATCTTGGAAAATGCGTAGCAGCTTGTTATCAGTAGTGACCTCATGGAAATTGGCTCCTTTCTCGTTTGCGAAGAATAAATCAGGTTTCCAGATAGAGTCCAACATGGATGGATCCAGATCGAGGGAGTCATCGGGGTATTCGCTGTATGCCAGACGAGGGTCGTTCCATTTTTGCCGTAGAAAGACATTGAGCCTGTAGTCCTGTGGAAGAACGCAGGGTAGTTAATGGAAAATATATCATCAGTGGAGGTTGCAGTTAGATGGAAAACTCAGAAGAGGATTGTTCTGCTGTAGTTTGAGAAGTTCTGATACGGGTCAGTGTTTGTCCGTTCTTATTTTGAATTGAAGCTAAACTTCTCAAAGCCAGACAGAAATATCATGAAAGTTATTCTCTTGGGATGGAGTACGGCTTGAAACTTTATACAACATTAATTCGAGCGATATAATTTTTCTACTTTATGTTTCCTCATGATGAGAATAACACACTTTAATGAACATCATTTCATTTGAGAAATGTGTGGAAACCCTGGAGACTGAGCAAATAAATGGAAAATCAAGAAAGAGCAAGCACTAAGGTCACTACAGATAATTCATCTTTGTTTGCTGCATTATATTTGTCAGGTTTAGTAAAAAAAGAAAAGAAAAGACAGCGCTGAGAGCTGATAATGCAAGCCAGGCTAAGGAAATACACCAAACACAGCCCGGCCTGCAGCTGGAATAATAAGTAATTAAATTAGAAATCTAATCAGTACAAATAATTCTTAATTTCTCTGTGGCCAATTGCAGTTATTAAGGTTTTTTCTTTTATTTCTTTTAAAAACATAAGAAAAGTCCTCCAGCTAAAATATGAATGTTTTCTGGGTTAACCTGACTGTAGCTTTGGAGCTCTGGAAGTCCCCTGGACACCCTTAAACACTTCACTGCTTTACTGTAGTGTTAATGCAGACGTAAGGGGAGCCATTTTTCCTGTCCTTTCACCCTTCTCCCTTTTCTTTCATTTTCTCAATTTTTCATTTTAATTGCAGAGTGGACAGTTCATTATCAGCATGTCAGTGACCCCAATGGTCTCTGAAGGTTGCACTGTTATGCTCCAGGAAACAGAAATTGCTTCAGCACTTAAAGGATTA